AACAGTTCGGCAGTTAATAGTGGGTCGTCTAATAGTTCACAAGCACAACGGTCAAGTGTTACAGAAGTTGCTGCTATTATGCAGCACGAAGAAGGGCCATCTGATGGGGAAAATGTGACTGAACATCAGACAAGGAATTTAATAGAATCAAATAATGATGCTTAATACGAAGGGAATAATATCATGTGACTACATAAAGTAGTATTTGAAGATGTATGTTGTCAAGGACAAATATTTTGTCATACATAAAGAGAGCATACTTAGATTGATTAGCGTAGAATACTAGTTTATATAATTCTGATTTATGATTGGTGTGGCAAGAAATTAGGGACACACAGTTATCATCAAAATAATATGCTCATCAGTAAATACTGTACAGTATATATATATATATATATATTTTTTTTTTTTTTTATTAAAATTTTACATCTCAATAAACTAAATGTGATTTACTTTGTAAAAAATTCGAAGTGTAAATCATATGGTTGGAATGGAAGTTGCAACTGCCTTGCAGAAGAGGGTAAACTGTTCAAAAATAAAATTTGTGTTTTACTAAACTTCATGAACTATAGTTGATTTATTTTACTAAAACTAGCAAATTTTTTTTGATGAGTTTAAGGTAATGTTAAAGTAAGGTAGGCCTCAACTAATCAAAGCAAACATAGTCGGTGTAACATATAAAAGTCATTTAATTTTTTCGACGATTTATACATTATAAAAATAATTATAAATTTAAATTTACATATATTAACGAAAGTGTAAATAATTTTTTTTTAACTTAAAGCTCTTAACTAGCTCTACATGGAAATAGCGTTACTTTTTTCAATAGTTTATAAAGATTATAACTAATTGTTACTCTAGGTGTTATTATTTAGTATTATAAAATTTTTATTAAAAATAAAATAAGATGTGTTACTGATTTATTAGTATAAAAGATTAGTTGTAAGTAAGGTTATGTTGTATAATTTGTTGCAATATTTGTGTAAAATAATTGTTGTTAAATATTTCAAGCATTAGGTTATTATTAATTGTAATTGTAAGAAGTGTAAATACTGTAATAGAATGTTTTAGTGCAATTATAGTAAATCTAAAAGATTAGACTGTTGTAGGCTAAGTCTTTTGAATGAGTTTATATAGAAAGTTTTTCTCAAAAATTTTTGTTACAAGATTAATTGTAATTTTAAATATATATTTGTTTTGTATATAATTAGAGTTCAAAAAGTATCTTATCTCTTAAACTGTAAACTATTTAAATTTGTTTAAAAAATTATTAAAAATATATCTATAATCTATATTTTTTAAATTTTAAAATATTTAAATAAAATTTTATTTGATAATATTTAAAAATAAAAATTATAATATAGTAATATTTAATTTTTATATTATAAAAAAAAGTTAAAGTTACTTATAAGTTACAAATAAACAAATTTAAAAAAAATTTATATCTAAAAAATTATTTACTAATTCTTAGTAAACTTTTTAAATATTAATTTTAAACTTATAGTTATTAAAACAATATTATAACTTATATAAAAAATAATAACTTTTATTAATACAATTTTTAGTTTACTTATAAAAATTTAGACATATTAAAAATAATTTTTTTAACTTTAAAGATATATAAAATTTTAAAAGATTTAAAGAAATTTTTTAAAATAAAAATTTTTATTATTTAAAAGTTTTTTATCAAATTTAAAAAAATTTTCTAATAAAGTTTATAAAATATATTTTTAATAAAATATTTTATAAGAAATGTGACAACTTAGTAAAGTGAATAAGTTGTTAATCTTTTAAGTAGTAAGTTAGATATTCAAATCCTATTAGCAATAAAAATTTGAATAATCATTTATATAATTTTGTATTATAACAAATATTTCTAACAATTGGATTAAGATATTTGTAATAATGGTTATATTAGCATAACTGGCAGGTTATAAGATATCTGTATAACTAGTTATACAAAAAAATGCAAACTGACATCAGATAGTACAAATATTAGATAAGTTCTTATGATTATATAAATCTATTGAATTAAAAAAACAAAAAGTTCATTTAAAAAAATCTAAATAAAAAAATAATACAGATTTTTGATAATGCTATTATAAAAACTAGATCACTAAAAATAAATACTAATATTAAAGTATCTAAATAGACAAGAACCTCTAGGTTATAAGTTTTAAAATACACCAACCAAGTTATCAAAACAAATCAAAGAAAAAAAATTTTAAATTAATTTTATATGTCAATAAACTAGTCATAGTTCTATATAAGCTATCTAAATTGAAAGTTTGAAAAACAAGCAGATGTATACTAAAGTACTAGGAATATGCTGTGAAGTAAATACTAGAATTTGAGTGAACTTTACAAAGACATAGTAGTTAAAGATAAAACTCTAATGATAAATATTAGTTTTGCTATAACAATACTTAAATTAGTTGTAAAAATATATACAAATAACTTAAAGAGGTTTACTTTAAAGATAAAATAATTCTAAGATTAAGATAATAATCTGAGCATAACTAGTAATATTAATACAGATACAGGTTCAAAAAGTTTAAAATAGAACACCTAAGCAGAAATGTTAGATATAACAATTAGTAATAAATCTTTAGACAGATTCCTTAAATAGGTAATATAAAAAAGTTATATGAATAGCCAATTGTATACTCTTTCTATAATGATTTACAAGAATCATATTGCCAAAAAAGTTATTAATAAAAGTCAAAAGATTAAAGAAGTCATCTTAAAAAAAATAAAAATAAAATAAAATATTTTATAAATAAACTGTATTTATATTATTAATAATTTATGAAGTTATTTAAAAAATACTAAATTTAATTTTAAAATTTAGATAAATTTAACTAATAAACAGTTTAAAAAATTTATTATTTTTAAATATAATTAAAAAAAATATAACATTGTTTGTAAAATATTAAAATAAATTGTTTAATGTATAATAGAAATAAAGTTCTTTATATGATTATATCATCTAGCTTTTTTAATAATTTTTTTTTTAAGAAGTATAATAACGTAGTAAAGTGGTTATATTGTTAACTTCAAGTGGCTGGTCTAAAGTTCAAATTTCAGTATTAACAAAAATTTAAATTCTTTTAGTGTTGTGATTAACTGTTTTTTAATATTAGTTAAAATAAGATATGTATCTGTTATTTGTATTATATCAGTATAACCGAAAGGTTATATGATATTTATACAACAGTTGTATCTTGTATAAAGAAACACAAATCAGTACTGAGCAGTGTGAATCTGTGATAAGTTCTTGTAACTGTATAGATCACAGAAATCAAGAAGACAAAAACTTATTTGAAAGACCTAAATAAAGAAGTAACCTGAACTTTTAATAATACTATTATAAAAACTTGATATATAAAACAGAACTAGAACTTGTAAAGCTAAATAAAAACAAGTTAGTCTTTAAAAAGGACTGTTGTAACCAGCCAGATTATCAAAATTCTAAAAAGGATAACAAAAAAAAAGATTACATGCTAGAGAACATATAAATTAAAAATATAGTTGTATTTATCTTTTTAAGCTATCTAAACTAGAAGCTTGGTGAAACTTAAATTAAATATCAAAATAGTAAAGGTATGTTGTGAAATAAGCATTAGAGTTAGAATAAACTTTACAAGAGCATAGAGTTTACTGATATGCCCTAACTGCAAGTATTAGTCTTTATTATAGTATTACTAAGTTAGCTATAAGAATGAAATATAAAAGATTTTAGAAGGTTTAGTACAAAGTCAAAGGTTTTTCATATAAGTAAACTGCATTAAAGACTTAGTAACTATAGCATATTTTCACTAGTATCAATCAGGATTATTGGTAAATGTAGATAAATAAATAAGTACAAAAACTAGAGTATTTAAATAAGAACTTACAAGCAGTTTTCAGATATGGCAGTTAGTATAAAATCTTTAGATGAATTACTTAAATTAAACAATAACTAAAATTGTACAAGTGGCTAGTTGTATATTCTTTTCATAGTTGCCTTTTGTAGTTGTAATGCAACTATTAGCTAAATGTACTATTAATAAAATTTTGAATTACAAATACTTATTTTAATATTTAAAAAAAAATATAATAATTTTTTTTTAGTATTAAGATTACCTTTTGGGTTTTTAATTTTATTAACATTTTTTTAATAATTATTTTATATTAATATTACTATAATAAGAGTATACAGAGGGGTGTGGTGATCTAGTGAAGTAGATAGGTTGTCAACTTCCAAGTGGCAGATCTAGAGTTCAAATCTCAGTGACAGCAATTCTTTCTGTGTTATGACTAACTGTCTTTCGTGATTGGTTAGGATAGGATACCTGTAACCCATGTCATACTAGCCTGACTGGAAGGTTTAGGCATTCATGCAACATTATATGAAGGAACACAAACCAGTACTGAGTAGTATGAACCCAAGATAAGTTCTTAGGCCATGTAAATCATGGAAACCAGGTAGGAGGATGGAAGCCCACTTGGAAGACCCGAGTAGAGAGGTAACCCGAACTTTTGACAGTGCTACTGTAAAGACTAGACCTATGAAATGGAGCTAGAACTTGTGAAACCAGGCAAAGAGCCGGC